ATTTTTTGTGTGTGTGGTAGAGAGAGAGAGAGTGTATGTCAAACTGTCCCTAAAAGATATAGTCACAGTGGAATGGCCTTTTCGACTGACATCTTTGTGTTACGCCCCTGTCAGGTGGGCATGCAAATTCGCTTGGCCTTTTGCAATTGCACCTACGAAAACTTGGCAACCGCCGGGACATTTTGCAAAGTTGGGCAGCATCCGGTAGGGGTACATTGCAAAGATGGGGTCCAACTGATGGCTGGGGTGTTTTGCTAAATGTTTTTGTCATCGTTCTTAGCTGCGGCGGGTCCACGTGTTGTGTAGTAAGGGGAGCTGCACGGGTCCTTACGGGCAACCGTTAAAATTGGAACAACACAAAGAAGAAATGCATTTAAAAAAAAGGGAAAAAAAAGGATTTTTTAATGGGGGGAACAAAAGGAGAAAGAAATTAGATGCCTTCTGACTATGATGTAGTAAAAGTTGGGACGACGCAGACCGGGGCTGGAGCTTTTGCTTTGTAACCTGGGGGAGTAAGAGGTCTGTGGAGTTACGCCGAGGGAGGAAGGCATAACCAGTTTGTCCGACGTAGCTGATGCCGGGGGGTTTTCCCTGTAACTTAGGGCATGTGGCTAATCGAGAGTGTCGAGGGAGGAAGGCACTCTTTGCCATCTGAACCAGGCTGGTCGGTACTGGGGAAGTTTGTGTTGCTCTGTAACCCTAGCATAGGCGGGTACGAGATCAGCCGATTTTTGGTACGAGGACTAAATGCTTGGACTTAAAGTTTTTTCGCTTGTTGAAAGGGAGGTGTAAACAGTAGGAGGTTTTAGTTAGGATCTTCTGTTTCCAGGTTTGGACTGTGGTTGGGTAGATCATAGGCAGTTTTATGAGAACTGCAGTTGTTTCTCATAGGTAATTGACTGATTGTTCTCCTAGCCGAAGCTAGGTATTGGCCCCAGAATTTCAAATGTGTTACATATTCTCAGTTGTACTTCAAAGGGACGCTGAGCCCGGTTGTCAGCATGTAATGCTCCCCACGAATAGATTGGAGCTTTAGTGCCCCCCCCCCCCCCCAAAAAAAAAAAAAAAAAAGATGTAGTAAGGGGAACTGACTCCTGGACATGTGCCTTAACAAAATGAATTTTGGCCTGAGGTTTTGTGCATGGATCAACGTCTTCCACCCCACAGCAACCACAAACGTCACCCGCAATGGCCACCTAGCCCTGCCATTTAAACTCAAACGATCGGTGAGACAAGGCGACCCGATCGCCCCCATGTTTTTCGTCCTTGTCATGGAGGTTTTGGCAACCATGATCAGAACGAACGCTTTGATCCAGCGTATTCATGTGCCAGAAATCTCCCACCATCTTATTCCACTCACATCTCTATTTGCTAACGATCTCACAGTGCTCTTCAAAGCAAACTACGAGAGTTTTCAAGCATTAGCCCACACCATCCACCTATTTGAGATTGCCTCGGATATGAGAGTTAATTGGGGCTAAAAAACAAAAGGTTGGTGGCTCGATCCAATGGGGGGCCAAC